ATGATCTACATATTATTTGTAAATAATAATATAAATGTGATACAAATAATAATATAAATAATAGTACAAATAATAATATAATATGAAATGTAAATAAGAAGATCTTAACTAATTAAATATAAACATGTATTCTCAAAATTATTCAATAAGATTAAATGATAATTTTGACTAATAATTAATGTGAAATTTCATTATATAACAATAATAATAATTACTTAATAAAGATATGATATTTTTTTTATTAGATATAATATTTTATAAATTATAAAATCAGAATTAAAAAAGAAAATTAAAAATATAAATGACAAATTTGGTTATATTTATATCTTTTTTTGTTATAATTAAAAAGTTCAAGTATAGTCAAACTTCTTTATAGTCACACCTATTTATAATCACATTCCTCTATAGTCACTCTATTTTGCTTTTCTATTTACATATAAATATAGTAAAAAAATCACTCTATAGTCATATTCCTTTTATAATCACCAAATTTTGCTTTTCCAAGGGTGATAATTATAGAGAGATTTGATTTTATATAAATTCTATAACATGCTTTTTAACTTAGATTTATAATAATTTATAGTTATAGAACAGTGTATTTATAAGTAAAAAATATATTTTGTTTTTAATAGAGCACTTAAAATATATAGTATAAAGTTTATCAAGTAAAATATTATTAGTAATTTTATTAATTAGACAATTATAATATTAAAAATTAAAATTATTCAAAGTGAGAAAAATTATTTGTTAATAATTCTTGCAAAATAGATTGATAGTATTGTAATAAGTCAAAATGCTTATATAATCAAATTATATAAAAAATTACTTTAATTTCTAGTTACAAAGTATTATCTGTTTTTGATTATTCAGATTCTATAATATATTATTTGTTTAAAAATACACCAAAAATTAATAAAAATAATATTAAAAAATTTTTCTTTCTACAAGTCTGGTAAATTATACTTTTAATAAATACTAATACAAAATATATACAAAACTGAATCTCAAATAACTTTTGAATATTATATACAAAACATAAATAATTATACTTATACTTGAAAGTTAAAAGAAATAAAAAATAATTAATTAGATAACTTTACTAATATTTTAACTGTTCAACAGAATACTTCAACATCATAATAGCAATCATCAACTTCAAAAACTAGTCTTTATAAACAGAAGCATTACACTATTATAAAAGCAAAAATTATATATTTACAAGTGTGATTATTTTTTTAAATTAATGCTAAAATTATAAAAAATACATTATTTAAAATTGTATCTTTTCAATAAAAAATACATTACTTGATAATACTTATCAAAAACTATTAAATAATGTATTTTTTTTACATTTAAGGTTCATATAAAAAATCCTTCGTAACTAAGCTGGACGCACTATAAATAAACGCAATTAATGTGTATAAATCGATGATATTATCAATCTATTCTTGGTTTGAGTCAGATTCGAAATGGAGTTGCTTGGTCAGCACTAAATCCACGAGGTCTGTAATTGACCATAACATAATTTGCAATATATAGTATTACTGGATTGACAAATTTATTAATGAAACAACGTGATATACCACGTAGTGTGTCCTGAATCAAGAATTTTAGATGTAACAATTTATAGGAACAAAAGAAAAATGTAGGTACATATATTCTATCTGTTTTGATTAAATATAAAAGGGCACGCTTCAATATCAATTTGGTCTTTCAGAGTATACGTGGTAAGTCTTTGCACTGAAAAAGCGACGTCCGGGACGCCAGCCTGGTGGCGAGCCCTAAGCAAGAAAGAGGAAGAGTTAGTTAATGCTAAGGAATCAAAAAATATGAAGTTTTTCATACCATGCAGGAATTGCTTGTTCGCATGTGCTCAATGCTTGACCATTTGGAAATGTGAATACTGTATTACTGTGGTTCACCGCCCCATTCGCCACTAAGATCGCAATGAGGGCTAATTTTGTTTGTCCCGGAACTCCGTTTCGGCAGAAGGGGACGGTCGGAACATCGTTAAAGCCCCCGTCGTTCCATTGAATTATGAGTGCTGGCATGTTCTTCTTCGTGACACGAAGGGTGAGGGTAGCAATCTTAGGATCTTGAAGAAAGGGAGGAAGTTCCGATGATGCTAAACAGACGGGAATACCAGTCAAATAACTTTTATGGCATTTAACATTAGCTACCAATTTCTGTTTACCTACACCAGCCCTGCATGCAAGTAGTTTGACGTTTATTACTTGCACTATGATTAGTTGTGAAAAATAGTCATAAGAGTTGAGGAAAGATTACATAGTTGTGAAAAATAGTCATAAAACATACAATAGCGTTGAGAAAAAGACTACCTTTTCGAAGGAAAAATTTGAGTGGGCTTGTCATGTTGTGAGAAGGGTCGTTGAAGAAAGGAATTATTTATTTTATGAACAGCAATAAAAATAAATGCATCATGATCATGCGGGAATTTTATCATTTCGGCGGATAGTCCTGGCAGAAAAATTTACAGGTCCCGTAATTTCCGATCTCGATGCCGACCATCCGATATCCCCCTTAAAATCATAATGTATAATATTAAATAGAATTTCGGTTAGGTTATTGTAGTTAAGGTTATTGTATAGCAAACGGGAGTATAGTGTATAGTAAAATTTTCAAGGAAGATAGTTTCATAGTCAAAGTTTTATTTTTCAAAAATTTTGTTGTTTTGAATTTTTGCGTTGCACGTTGAAATTTTAAGGGGAATCAGAAATCACGGGATCTGGAAATTTTTCTGCCATAACTAGTCTACTAGACGGATCGGCGATTTGAGCCAATTACGATTGAGAATCAGACTTGTGTTACCGTCAAACCAATCTTGATCATCTAAGTTACTATTGATATCGATATATAACAGGGGTAGAAGAATTTCATCTTTTGGATCGACGCGATCTATTTATTATTCGCGTAAATGGATATGACATTTTGAGAGAACGCGTTTAATCCAGGAATTCAAAAACAGTTTTATTTGTTGACAATCAAGTAATGTGATCAGGTGATCAGACGATCAACAGGATTTATATAAACAATCAAAAACATATTTTGCTCCAAAACACGATTTTCTATACACAATTTCCCATACGCCCGTTTAGTCATATGGACGGCGGACGTACTGGAAGCGCGAAGGGAGACCATCACTTAGTCATATGGACGGTGACCTCTTCTTCGTAGTCGCCTGCCGGCTGGTTTAACATATGGTTGATCAGACCGGCAGAGGTGTGCGTGAAAGGACCCTTGCTTAGCCATATGGGCGGTAAACCTTTCACGCACAAAGGTAAGCCACATATTTCGCTTAACCATATGGGTGGCGAGAGTGTGGTTCCAGCTTTGTTTGTTATCCATTTTTTTTTATTTTTTGTATCATCGGGGCATGTCAGATAAGTGATACAAGTTTATTTTTTAAATATGCGACAATGCTCGATCATTCATTCATTTTACTAATCTATTCACGAATGAATCATTTTTGGTAATTCAGTTTGTTCAAATGCGAAATACCAATATATCATCTCGTAGACGTCATGAAATTTAACGAAACCGTTCTCCACGACCATCCTATAAAGAGGTATCATCAATGTCAAGTCAGGAATCATCTTTTTTTTTGGACGAAGAAGCCAATTCAACAATTAGTCTCCGCTTCATATAATTTAACGAAATCGTTCCCACGATCCTCCTATATAGAAATAATATCAAATCAGGAAGAAATTCCAGAATCAAAACTTAGTGACGATACTCTGCGAAAGAGGAAGGAAAGAGCCGAAAAGGTTTATAAGCTTTTATGGGAGTTGGGGGTAAAACAAAAAATATCACAGAATAGATCTATCCCAGCAAGGTCTATTTCAAGATAATATCGATCGCACAATACATCACGACAAAAATCACGCGATTTAGCAAAAAAATCTGTGTATTACATGATAAGAGATTTCTCCGAATCATTTTATCCGAACCGAAGCTTTCTGTAACGATGAGTTTGGCTTTACCTGTGCATTATCACATTTTATCATTCATATATACTAATCGATTTTTTTTCTATCCCTAGATGAATGTAATTAGAGATATTATGACGAGACGAAGCTGTACTGGACATGAAAATTATACAATCAAGATAATGACATTTTGGCTGTGCAAGCTTTTGCTGAAAATTGGTATATGCAATAATCTCATTATTGACCCCATTTTTTTAGATCAGGTGTTATGTAAAAAGAGAGGGAAGAGATTGTTCGAAAAAAACATTAGCAGTCTTCCATTTATATAGAAAATCATGTATCTCCAGCATTTTGTAATTTATTCTTTTACCGTATATTACTGTATAGAATACCCCCCTAATAGTGTATCCCCTAATAAAGTACCCTCCCCAGAATACCCTGAAAGATGAGACAAATTCAGCAAAACTAGCTTAACATTTTAAGACAAATAAACATTCTTTATAATATTATATTTAATAATAATTATGGTTGAAGTTGAGGTATAGCTTATGTACACGAGTTTTCGTCTGTCAAAATTGATTTAGACCCGGGTATTCTACAGTAGTATACGGTAATGCTGATAAAAAAATACATGTATTAACAGACCTCATCAATTCTTTAGATTTAATGCATGCCTGATGAGTTATATATAATGTAAATAGTCTGATAAACTCAAAAAACATGCAATTTTTGTGGTCTTATGGATGATCCTGCACAAAGTGCCTTGCTTTGCAAGAAAGGGTCACAATTTTATTTCTTTGGCACTATAGTAGCGGTCATAAGTATCTGAACGCCCCTAACTTTTTATAGATCATGCGTATCATCTTAAAAATTTCTGAAAACAAAGAATAACACAAATGCTGTTCATTTACGCCTTTTTATGTTCATAAACTTTCACGCTCTAAATATAATGAAACAGTCACTTTATGATGTAATATCTTGATGTCTAGTGATCGGATTTGAGCGAAAATACTACCATTTGACTCATTTAGTCGAGATGTCGAGATATTACGTCCTAGAGGGACCGTTTCATTTTTTGACGATAATTTTTCATTCGAAATTGATTGAAACGGTCCCTTTAGGACGTAATATCTCGACACCCAGTGATCAAATTCGAACACAAATACTACCATTCGATTCATCTCGACTAAATGAGTCAAATGATAGTATTTTCGCTCAAACCCTATCACTAGACATCAAGATCTTATGTCCTAAAGTGACCGTTTTATTTTTGTTAAGGTCAAAAAAATGAATGACATAATATCTCGACATCTAGTGATTGGATTCGAACAAAATACTACCATTTGATTCGTCTCGACTAGACAAATCAAATGGCATTTTTTTTTGTTCAAATCCAATCACTGGATGTCAATGATTAGATTATTAGATATTGAGATATGTATATTGTAATATAAATTACTTGTGCCATTTCTTTAGCAACTGAAATATCAAGTCTAGTATCAAAGCAAGTAGAACACCATGTTTTACCATTTTTTATATTGTGAAAGTTAACAGTTCATTCATGTTCTTTTATGTATTTCCATCTTAATGGAATATTACAATTAATATATCTATCAGAAAGGCATTATCCCGCCTTGACTTTCAGCAATTTTGCAATCACATATCGATATGCATAATTTAAAGAGAAAACTATTGCAAAGAAAATATTTATTTACTTTGCTGTTGTTTATTTCTTTGTTAAAAAGTGAAAATACCTATATCGATATCATTACAAAATGTCCAATTTGAATAATCTGTGCTTGAATAATTTTTGGAAATATGCACAAAAATACAGTAGCGATAACATTGTGCAGAAATTAAATTTTACACTGATAACAAGATCTTGACGTCGAACAAAAGTTTATTTTACTAAATTATTACTATGTCTTACACACGCAGTAAGTGAGAAATGAATTATTGCGCGTTAATTCATACAAAATGCATTCAAATTTCTATGTTATCACTAATTCTATATAGAGAGCATTTTTGCATGCACGCCTGCCACCATTAGAACCGAGTCTGTTCAACTAGGACTGGACCCAAAAGGCGAGAACTTTCTTTACACAAACGGGAAAACTGTGATTATTCGAAGTATATCTGTGCGTTGTAGTGTTTGCGATACATTTTATTATAACTATCTCTTAATTACCCGATTCTTTTTAATTATAGTTTTAACTAATTATTAATGAATAATGATAATACCCAGAATCCAGCAGTTTCAACTGAATACACTGGACACGTGGCACAAACAACTGTTGCACGCTATGCACCGAGTGGATATTACATCGCGTCTGGGGGTACTGATTTTTATCGATTTTTTCTAATCTCAGCTTTTTTTGGATGATTCACTTATTTTTTCGTGACGTTTGAAGATGTTCATGGTAATGTACGTATCTGGGATACAACGCAAGCAGAGCAAATTCTCAAAAATGAGGTAAAAGTGATTGCGGGTAAAATCAACGACATTGCATGGGATTCTGAAAGTAAAAGAATAATCGCGGTTGGTAACGGGAAGGAGAGGTATAAAACCCTATTTTTATATTTATTTGCCAGGAAAAAACCAAACAGATGATAATTCCAAAAATGCTATTTTTTTCAATAAGATATGGTCACGCATTTTCTTTTGATACGGGCTCATCAGTTGGTGAAATCAGCGGGCATTCCAAGGTCATCAACAGTGTTGACATTCGTCAACACCGCCCATTTCGTGCAGCTACTGCTTCTGATGACTTCACAGTCGTGTTTTACCAGGGAGCCCCATATAAATTTGCAAAATCGTTGAAAGATCACACTGGATTTGTGCAGGGCGTGAAATTTTCGCCTGATGGCGAAAAATTAGTGAGCGTCGGTTCAGACAAAAAGGTAAAGCGATAGAGGCTCTTATTATTGCGTATATGCCTCGTTCTCTCACAATAATAAACCAGTTATCTTTTTTTTTTTTTTTTTAGGTTTTTCTGTATGAAGGAAAGACCGGCGAAAAAATAGCGAACCTATCTGAACAGGTTGGAGATGATTTCCACAAAGGTGGTATATATGCCGTTTCCTGGTCACCGGATAACAAAAAAATTTTTACATCGTCCGCAGATAAAAGTGCCAAAATTTGGGATGTGGAAGCTCAAAAAATCTTACGGTAATTAATTTGTGTAATTTTTGTGTGTTCCTTGTAAATATTAACCAAATGTATATTGTTTTTCTAAAGTACTTTTGAGTTTCCTGATTCTATTGAAAATCAACAAATTGGTAATCTATGGCTAGGCGAATACCTAGTCAGCTTGTCTCTTTCAGGGGATCTAAATTATTTGGATGAGAAATCTTCGTCTCCTGTAAAAGTCATAAAGGTGCGTATTATTATTGGTATTATTCTTTTTTTTATTATTTTTATTTATTATTTTTATTATCAATAATTAGGGTCATCAAAAAGGTATTACAGCATTGACTCGCACAACAGATAAAACGTTGTACACGGGAAGTTACGATGGTCGAATTTATATCCTTATATATCACCTCATTTTGTTTTCTGTTTTAAACCAAAAACAAACATTCTTGACAACAAATATTCAATAATAAAAACGTGCGTGGACTGAAGACGAAGCTGGTGCAGCCACGATTACTGGCCAAGGTCATACAAATCAAGTGATACAATTTGCGTCTAATGGAAATAATGTTTATTCGACTGGAATGGACGATACAATAAGGAAAGTTGATGCCAAATCTAAAGCTTATAGGTACTTATATATTATTATAGTTGAATCGAATAATTTTTAGATATTGAACCATTTTTTTTTGATTAACTGATGAACATTTACAGCACAACCGTTGTTCCTACCGGATCACTTCCAAAAGGCATCGCAGTATCAAAAGATGATTTCGTATTTGTTGCGACAATAAAAGATGTACAAGTATTCAAAGACGGAAAACAGATTTCTAGTCTTGCGGTGTCGTTTACCCCGGGTGCTATTGCCGTAAATCACGATGGTACAGAAGTTGCTGTTGGAGGAGAAGTAAATACAATTTTTTGTTTATAAGTTTTTAAATCTCTATGAAATCATCACCATCTCTTTATTAAATAACTTTAATTTATTGGATTAGGATATCAAAGTTCGCCTATACAAATTCAGTGAAGAAAAACTAGCAGAACAGAATCAACTCTCATCTAATCGTAGCGCGATCACCGCGCTTGCTTATTCACCTGACGGGACATTACTTGCTTCGGGTGACTCAGAAGGCAAAATTTATGTGTACAATGCCAAAACTGGAGAAGTAATGCTCAATATTATTTCTTATATTCACGCTATTCTCCAATTTATGATTTCTAATAGTGATAATGAATTTAGGTTAAAATATCAAACTGGGGCCGTCACACGGGACGAATTTATTCAATTGCGTGGTCCCCTGACGGTCTTCACGTCGTCAGCGGGTCACTAGACACAAATATTTATGTATGGAGTGTGGAAAAACCCACTAAAAGCATTGCTATTAAAGGTACGTACAATTTATTATGTTTGTTTATTATACCTTAACAATAACTAATTAATTATTTTCTCCACAAAATAAAAAAGGAGCACACAAAGATACCGTAACAGGCGTAACCTTCTTGGACGATACCACAATTTCATCGGTTGGTCAGGATGCATCTCTGAAACTTTGGACAATTGCACATCACTAACATAACCGTTCCCCTCGAAAATTAAAATGCACTATCAATTATAACTTAAGTGAATTGAATATTTATTAGTATTTATTTATTATGTGATGCTGATATAGATACGATCAATAAAGATTTTCTTTTGAATTTGAGTATGTGTAAATATTGAAATTAGTTAGCATACCGCATAAAAAATGGATTTTTCGTTATATTATCATATCGGTGATGTGTGTTTGTAATAGTAGTGTCCTTTATTTATCGTTTTAATTCATAATTATATTTCCAATCGATCAATAATCTCTTTGTATATTTCCAGATTTCTAGTACGCGAGAACGGCCTTCTATACGATCAGCGAACGGAGATGCGCTAATGAATAGTACGAATCCTATCAACAATATTCCATTTATTATTGCATGTTTTGCAATTAACTAATTACGGAAAAAAAAACAATTTAAACATTAACAGAATTAAATTTATTGAGAGATAAGAAATATAATTCAAAATAAATACCTTTATCAACCAAGTCCACGTCTTCTTTGCAACCTGTTTCTTTATCTCATCTCGTCGCAACGCCTCAGTTTGCTCGTGTGACGCCGAGACCTCAGCTTGCAGCCGTTCAAGCGCTTTTTCAATTTCCACGATTCGTCTATTACTTATTGCGCTCGCACTCAACCGTTCCACATTTTTCTCGAGTTCAGCAATTCGCGCGGTAATACTATTATTATTATCACCACCACCAGACTCATCATGGGGGAACGATTGGAATGTGGATTTTAACGGAGTCGGAAGCAACGAAGAGTCGTTACGAGCTTCTTCAAATTGATCGTTGTCATCTGAAGAGTCGTCCAAGTTATCGGGAAGTTGTGAGCTTGGTTTCGCGTCGCCAGAGTAAATTGATGATGGTGGCGGATTATTATTTTGTGACGACCAGGTTGTCGTTATTGGTCTACTCGTTGACTCAATATCTATGAATTCTGGCTTTGGTGGATATTGTTTTTGTTGTTGTTTGTCAATTGAAAGTGATTCAGCAGAATCATTTGAAGGAGGCGCGGTCGTAGAAGAGTATTCTTCATCAGATTCACCAACATTATCATCGTGTTCTGTGATACTTTGATTATTAGGATTTTTATTTATTTGATCATTGTCGAGAACTGGTTACTTACTTGAAAGTTTTATAATTAATTCGTTTGCTTCTTTATTTTTATCTTTATGTAATTGAAGCCACTAATGAAAATTTAAAAGCGTCACGAATTAATATGAATGAATGGTTAAGAGTGAAATGGATTCTAATCCTTACTTTAAGACTTTTATCCACATATTGAGCTTTAGCTTCGTCAATAGTCATTCCTTTCAATTTTGCCCATGCATCATCCCTTCTTTTTGACGCGAGGATAAATTAATCATTAGAAAGGGTAAATGACGGTACAAGTATTGAAAAAATGTATACAGTCGACTCTCTCTATAACGAACTCTGGATATAACGAACCTTAAATTTTCTATTAGTTCGTTATAGAAAAACATAGTGATTTTATATAACGAACTTTTTCTACTAACAGAACCATCAGTTCGTTAGAGAGAGAGTTGACTGTATATACGAGGTAACTTACAAATCTCTTTCTTGAGCTTTGTCGGACGGAAAACTTGTAGCGTCTCCACAAGTTGCTTGTTTGAACAAGGCATGTAACTAATATAGAGAGAGAAACAAGAAATTAATTCGAGTTAGTTGTTAAGGTTGCAAGATAAAATACTCTAATGTCATACTTGTACTGCATCTTCGCCAGCTGGATTCAGTACATGTCCAGTTGGTGATTCCTCAAAATATGAAGACAATTGCTGGAACTGTTTCGAGACGACCTGATATCGATTTGGATTCATGGAAACTGACACATCAAATGAGTCTAATCATTTCCTTAAAAGTATATTTGGTTTCAAAAGTTTTCCAGTATTGTAAACAACATACACCTAAAAGTGTGCCTGTTTTATAACAATAACAGTAATAATGACCGAAACAACAGAAATGATTGAACCTAAAAAAGAAGCAACAATAAACAATAATGATATAATGATATCCGATACAGAGTTCTTATCTGTGAAGCTAGAGCACTTGAGCAGCGCTGACGCAAAGAAACGAGTGCACGAGCATGACGAGGGAGACGCTCGTTCTTCCGACGACAATACTAAACGAGCTAAACTTGAGAGTGGTGGTGGTGGTGGTGGTGGTGGTTCATTGACAAACTTGAATTCTATTTTGCCAAATACTGCAAATTTTGCAACACCTACGATCGTTGCAACCATCGCCTCCTCTCCTACCACAATTTTGTCGCCACCACTGCCGCTGCCGCAAACAATAACACCTGCTTTTCCACCTATATTACCGACATTTACGCCACCACCGCCTCCTCCTTCGACGCATTTTAGCAAGTCTTCTTGGCTGGATAAAATGCCTGCATTGCATTTAGATGATAACCAAAAAGCGGCGCTAGAAAAGGCAAAAAACTTTGCTCGAGATATGCAAGCGGTGGTATGGAGAAAGAAACAAAACAATATTTATGCTATATAAGACGCACTTTTTTATAATTAATTATAAATTCACTATTAGTTATTAAAATCTGCCGGAAAAAACAGCACTCCACCTCCAATACCTTCAATTCTTCTATCATCGAATCCTGGGCTAGCGTCTGGAATTGATCCTCGCTCGTTATCTGTACTATCGCGAATTTACGTCGGTTCAATTAATTTTGAGCTGACTGAGCAACATCTACGTGTGGTGTTTGGTCAATTTGGCGCGATAAAAAGTGTGAGTATGTCGTTGGATCCGATTACTGGCAAACACAAAGGATTCTGTTTCATTGAATTTGAGACACCCGAGGGCGCGTCGCTTGCTCTAGATTCGATGAATGGCGCGGAATTGGGAGGACGGTAATAATTTTTGTGAACGATATTTTTCTATTGTAATTTTTTTTTACATTAATTATGAATTCATGAAATTTCAGACAACTAAAAGTTGGACGACCAAATAATTATACGGCTGCGACAGCCGCTGGTTAGTGTACCTCTTTATACTGTTATTCATAATACACTTTTATATATTCGCATCCTCTTGTTGTTCTTTTTACTGGGTAAGAGCTTGTGTTACTACTGAATGAACCAATAAACAGGACTTCTACCTCCCCCCAAAACCCGAATATATGTTTCAAACGTCAATGAATATGTCAGCGAGGAAAATCTCCTGAGCATATTTGAGTCGTTTGGTAAAATAACTCATTGCGTTCTAATGGTAATAATCATTTTTTATTCTATTTTCTATCTTTTTCTTTCTCTTTCTATTTTTTTCTCCCTTATTATCTAATAATCATACATACAAAATATGTGCGCGTGTATGTGTGTGGATGTCTAGCCTGACCTTATAACGAGAAAACATAAAGGATATGGGTAAGTAGTAATAATTGTTTTTCTTCCGTTCTATATTTATTTATATTGATGTGTGAGGTTGTGGTGTGGGATGTAGTAAGAGTGGATGATATTGCTGCTGTCATTCAAAGATGATGTGCTTCCGTGTTGGTGGTGTGGTGGTGATGGTAGATTTTTTCATCTGCAGTATGATGAAAGCGAGCTTTTAATTTTCACGTGGAGAGAAACTTTTTGCACGAGCATCCTGTTTCCATCCCGATTCTATCCTTTTCTTTATTATTTTCTTTCCTTAATATTTATTTTCCCTTGCTCCTTTTATCCTGCTCTTCGTTTTCTTTAATACTAAACCCCACTTAGACACTTCCTACTCAAAATCCTCTAATACCATTTATGACTGGCCATATATTAATGATTCACTAATTCAATCGATGCTGCCACTACTATTGCTGGATAATTTACGGTTATGGGACAATGCAGACTCACTCCATTATTCATATATCTATGCACTCTATGCACTCTAAAACCATATTCTCTGTGGTTATTATTATGCATTATTATTATATTTTTTTCCCCATGACATTTTATTTTCTCCCTCCCTCACCCATCTATCTATCTATCTCTATCTCTCTATCTATCTATCTATCTATCTATCTATCTATCTATCTGCATATTCAAAACATATATAAATTAATCAACCTGCGGACACATTAATGGACTCCTGACAACAATAACAGCAGTAACAACAGCATCATGATTTCCCCCAATACTTTAACCCATAACCGCGAGGACGGCCTAGAGTGGCAGTGCTCATCACTTGTTGGGATATGATACTCATGATGATGGTGCAATCTACGGCTACACAGCATCTTCTGTTTCTTCTACTGCTAGCTCGCCACTTTCCTAAGACTACTGCTGTTACTGATAAATAAAAAAAAACTTTAACATTGACAGTAATCTAATACATAATATTCGAATTTTATTTGTCTAGATTTATCGAGTTTGAAGAAGAAATGGCCGCAAGCACTGCAGTAATCTCAATGAACAATTTCGAATTGGGCGGATTGATATTACATGTCGGTAAAGCTGTGATAGGGGGTCCACTCAGCGAAGGTATGAAAGCAATCGAGAAGTTACCACCGCTTCCGCCAGGCTCAAATCCTACTCCGGTGCCTACACCTTCGTCACCGTCAGTATCAGCAGCAGGTTTGGTATCAACTACCATAATAACTAATTTTTTGCTGGTTGTTTAAGACTTGAGGTTTTTTGGGGTGACGTTTAATTTCTTTTGGTAGCCGCAGCTGTTAAAGCACAGAATGCAGCCGCGAAGATTGCGGCAGATCTTGCGGCTAGAGGGCAGGCTGCTGTTGAATCTGTTGCTCAAGAAGAAAATATTATTATAAGTGCAAGTCAACGTTACGCCATCATGCAAAAATTAGCGAGACAAGAGGTCAGTCACTTATTTTCTTTATACTTATGATTTCATTGAAAATTTTAAGTTTTGTAAATTCATCTTGAAGGCATCACCGGTTGTTTTGATACGTAACGCCGTGGCACCTGCCGATGTTGACGATTCGCTCGAAGAAGAATTCAAAGATGAGTGCAGCAATTTTGGAAAAGTCGAGAACGTTGTCATACATACAGATCCTGAGGAAGTGTTTGAGGGCGAACGTGGGTTAGTTAAGATTTTCGTGCAGTTTGTGGATGGTTCAGGTGAGTTGAGGTCATAAGTTATTTTTTGGGAGGTGAGGTTTGGGTTTTTTATAAACCAATTCAGTAATAATATATGTATGTATCGTGATGGTGATGATACTAGGTGCTGAGAAGGCTAAAGAGAAATTAGACGGCCGGTGGTTTGGCGGTCGTCGTATTAGAGCTTCGTTGTTTGATTTAAAAAAGTTTCAGGCTGCTGATTATTCTTAGTATTATTATTGCAAGTATTAATTATACTTGCGTGGACTATTTATTTTTGTTAATTGTTTATGATAGTTTCCTCTTAACAGCATTACTAGTTGTTATACTTTAATGTTCGGAATATAGATAGTGTGTAATTTTATTCTATTCTAAAAAAAATAACAATACGAAAAACAAAGTTTACAAAATTTACTTTGAGATATTGAAATATATATATATATATATATACAGTATATATATATATATGTATGAATAAAAAATAAATATATAACAAAATTCGGAAATCAAAAAAGTACAGTCTTTTTAATGGTTCATATTAATTATTATATGATTAATTAATTAATGACTTCAATTGATAATGAGTAAAAAATTTCCTTTCTCTTACATTATAATTAAAAGATGCCTATGATATAAAAAACCTTTTCTAACAACCTATTTATCGCTTCTTATATTTCTGCAAAATGGAAAGCATAATAGTAAAAATTAACTTAGTTTATTCTCATGAAACATCCATTTATACCGAAATTATAAAAAAACTTACATCCTCCATCTGAAGCAACTTATTCGGATCAATTGTATTCCGTAGCCCAAGTAACGTTTTAGAAACGGCTTCAGACGCTCCAATCATAGGTTTCAACACAGCCACCGGCACCGCGCGTATCACGGCTTTCACGGTTCCCTGTGTGCCCGTTTTCTCGTACACTTCCATTGGTACTGCGAATATTGTGTGCGCAGCAGTGCCGATGTTTTGTCGTAGACTCTTATATGCCTCTTCGATACCTAAGAGAAACAAACGTGCGTGAATTAGTGATTTCAATTTATATTTCATATTTAATATTAATAAAGTACCTTCGTTTATATCGGCTGGTTGATTGGCATATTTGCTAATCAACTCTTTCACGTTATCATCACTATCGCTATCACTTTCTGCCACCAAATTCGAACCAGAATGTACTGCGCCACTCGCACTACGCGATTTTTTAGTACTACCACCACTACTACTAGGCGGTTGTTCTTGAGTCTCAAAAGAAAATATCTCATCCGCATGTTCTAACAAAATCTGGGTTCCTACTGCAAGTTTCGTGCCAAGATTTATCGCCTCCATTGTGGTGGCTTTTGCGAAAGATTGTGTCCCTTTTTGTAACCCTTTTTAATTTCGTGACATATAGAAATAAATATTAGACGACGCGATCGTTATTTAGTGTGTAATAATAGTAATAGTAGCAGCAGTAGTAGAAGACAAACCTCGAATTATTCGTCCGTCTTTTTTATATTGTTCAATTGGCAAAAGAACAAGATCAGCAACACCCGATCCAAGATTTACTAATGATCGAATGGGTGCGACGCCAGACACTACATTAGGTACTTGCGTGTTTTTTATATGGGGAAGCCAAGCTGCGCCCAGCTCTTCGAAAAGTCGCTGCCAGCCTTTTATCTACGCGTCAAATGACAAAGACGTGATGTTAATATTATTAAGCGAAGATACACCACAAAGTTACGGTGTTTATTATAGTAATCTTTGATCTTTTGATAATATAAAACTCACCCCTCGAAGTTTCACGCTGTGTAAAGCCATATCAGCAGCGTCAAAATGGAAAAAGTTCATCAGTTCCACCAAATTGCCTTCTTTCAAGTTTGTGTAGTCAATGTGTTTTGGCTTATAATCGATTTTCATTATAATTGGTTGGATTTCAAAATATTCTAGAGCACGAGCACATAGTAACAAATTAAAATTTACATTTTGATGCTCAGTCATATATATAAATTACTTCATGTCTCCAAAAGATTTTATGATGAATCACTTACGTATATATGTATCATCTTCAGATTTGGGAGCAGAGGTTTTCGATGACGTGTTTTGAAACGAAAAGAACCGAATGACAAAATTAAGAGCGTCTTGATCAATATGGAACCGTAATGGCAATAACCTGGTCTATAGAAAATAAAAGCTCAACTTGGTGAAGATAATAAAGATAATAATATTTACATAACTTCCAAATAAAAATAACGGATTCAAATTAGAAAAAAGAATCACCTTCAACCGAAATTCTTCCGAAGGATCTGTTGGAACCGGTCGAACACACTGCAATTCTATTCGTACCATATTGGACTTCGCCTCGCGTGGACTCGTATCATTCTCTGGTCGCATATGAGACAAGAACTTTCGCCAAGCTGACGATTTAATATTATCAAGTATCTCCACATCTCTGATTGACAAAAGTAAACGAAATGCTAATTGTTCATTTTCGGGAAACAAATCAAACTCTAGATTCATCTTCTCTAGTCGGATATCAAGTTTACTGGATCTTGAGCGTCCCAATTTTGAGCGAGAACGAGTAGCTCGCGGAAGATCTGCGGTTTTCCCACCACCACTATCGCGTCTACTCAAATTTTCATTTCCGGCCCGCAAGCCAGAACCGACCAGACTCGAGACATCACTACGATCATCGACAGTGTAATCAACCTCGGAGGCTGCTTGAGAAGAAGACCCTTCGTATTCGGAATGTCGAAATGTTGACCCCACATATAGACGCTCATAGTAACTACTAGTAACCGAATCCAAAGGACTAGCTGGTCTATTATTGTTTTGATCGGATCCCGTGGCTGTTTCTGCGCTGTTGGCCGACTGTTTTCTGGCTTGTGCTTTAGCATGTGCAATGTTTTCGAGAACTGTGTTTCTGGTTTCTTCCCAATCATATCCGTCATATAATTTCCATACAAGATTAAAATCTCGTATTCGAACTCGCATTAAACTTTGTGGTAGCCTATTATTGATATATCAACGGATAATAAATCAAGTATATCAAAGTAATTTAGTATGGTAAAGTTTTTTATAAAATACCATGTTTGCAAATACCTACTCTTCTTGACTTTCTTCAAGCTCACTAGCTGTCGGAATAGAAAAGTGATCTTCCACAAAATTCAGCGGTTCTGGTTTCTCATCCTTACCAACCATGTGCCATTTCCATTTCCATTCTTCATCCTGAGATTTCTTATCCTGAGATTTCTTATCCTGAGATTCCCTATCCGAAGATTCGCTGTCCGAAGATTCCCTATCAAAAGGTTCATCAGAGCCAAGAGATACCGTGCGTGTACTCGGAACTAGAGAGAAATATTTATTTTTATTAGACAATAAATCTCTAAAAAGATCGAAAGGAAAAAAAAATACCATTTTTGAATTCATCTCCATTAGATTCGAATAAGTGAGTTTCATTCGGAAGAACAGCAGCATTTTTACCCTTTCGATGCATTGTTGCTCCCCGATTATCATTATCATCCATGAAATAAAACTCATCCATAATAGTCAGGTCTGATGTGCCGACACTCGCGTCTTTTGTTGTGTTTGGTTTGGGTGGCATGAAAGCTTCCTCATCCAAACTAGCTATGTATTTTTGTACCAAATAAATAACCATACTATTATGATCTATTGATGACTAAACAAATCGAATTTATGTTTGATAATAAATATTAGTTATTACCTAATACGTTGTCAGATATCTCATTCGATATTGGTGTAGTTGTTGGGTGTTTTGCGGGTCTACAAGACGAGGTTTTTTTTGTCGAAACAATTAAAAAAACTCCTTATGGCTGAATGAAATATAAGCAGAGCAATACATACTTGTTCTCAACACTTTTTTTATTCTTCGAAGCTATGTGATTGATCAAACTAAGCAGAGTGTGAAATGAATCCGCGCACGTTTCAATTGTCAAGTTTTCATTAGTTAGAGTAATCTATAATAAAAAATTAAAAAATTTAATAAATGATTTTGATCATACAGATCGCAAAGTTCTAGCATCAAACCCAGAACCAAAAAATCCCAACCTCAAATTTTGGAAATATTTGTTCTTTATTTATTCTTAACAATATTTCCGCAAAATCGACATTAGCAGTATGAGCGAGGCCTATTGTCTATAAAAATATAAATACATATGATTATTTACAAAACAGTATATTAAGATGCATGTCAGCAAATCAAAAGTTATTTCTTTCACACCTTCCAGTATCTTTTTGCGTCGATCACACCATTTCCTAATCGACTCAACAACTTCTCATTAAGGTCTTTTACGTTGTCGATTACCAACAGATCTGTATTTTGTGCGATTATTTTGAAGGATAAGAGGGGCACGTCTAGCATGAGCGTTGTTGATGCCTAAAGGTTATTTGTTATGATTTCTTATTTATTAGAATGATTAGGATTATCAAAGGTAATCATCAATTTTCAAAATTATAATTTTTTTATGAGTATAATACCTTTAAGCTGTCTAGTGCGATAACCATTCGCGCTGGTATATCTTTAGGAATGTAGTCAATCGACGATTCGTTGATCGACACAAACAACATTGTGAATTGAGAAGGCATATCAACGTATGGTATCTATATAGGTAATAAATAGTATTGTCAATGCTGAATACTCACAATTCCTTTATCTTCCGAAAAAGATTTTTTATTTCCGAAAATTTACCAGTTCGGGTCCTTGGAAAAATCCGACAAGATCCTCTGGCCATTTCGGTTCCAAGGAATCAAAGCGCAGCGTGACACCGTTAACTGAAAGTGTGAGATTGGTTTGCTTGACACTGAGGTTGCCGTTTGTCTCAAACGAGGAAAAAATGATCACAGAAATCATTGGTCGTGTATTTTTTGTCTAAACATATATAAAAACATGCATTAGGTCAAATATGCTTTATTAATAAGAAGTAAAAATGTACTATTAATTACTTTGATTCCCTTTGAAATGGTACGACACAAGAGTAAAGAGCTTTCTTGTGGATCCGTAATATCGAGAAACGTGAAATCATCATTGTCCAAACAAACATAAGTTTCGTTCTATTAATTTAAATATTTAATTAATAAATTTACATTGTTGTCTAAAAAATTAACGAGTCATTTGGTTTATGAAAATAGCACAAACACACACTTTGCCTCGATGTTTTATTGCAGTGAAAAATCTGAGTTCGGACATATTTAGCTGATAAGCATTCACTCCAACCTCAGCATTTTTTGACTCTTGACCACATAATATGTCAATTTCAACTGTTGCGAAAATTAATAAATAATAGAAGCCAATTATTAATAGTTTTACAAGAGACCCATGACAATATAAAAAAAAAACCAAAAATTTTTACCATTAGCCATGAGAACAACCAAAGATGCTAAACTCGGTTTCACAACGTTTACATTTCCTCTACGTTCATCTATGAATCCACCTTCCATTCTTCTCCGCAGCGCAGGATCATTTTCATCATAAGAATCATCACTCTGCTGCATATTCTCATTAAAACCATCAGCAACAAACGCGTTACTTTTATACATCGAGTGAGATAAAGTATTTGTGTTATCGTTGTTGTCACTGATAGTGGCGGTAGTAGTAGAGGGTTTTGTAAAACTTGGCTGCCATAGCGACAAGTCATTCAAGAGGATTTGCAATGCATCGTACAAAGATTTTGATATACGGATACGAATAACAGGGAAAGAACAGTTCAGCACGAATAACTAGATTAAAAAAATTAAATTAGTTAATCCAAAGAAACAAAAGAAACATACTAATTGGAGTCAGATGCAACTCGTTTTTTCATATTAATACTTACAGAACTTTCAATTGTTCGATGTTTAAATCTCAGAATATCTTCCTCTTCATTTTCCATAGGCCAATTGACTCGCTCTTCGCTACCTTCATAAGAGGCGTGAGCTTGTGAAAAGGGGGAAATGGGAAATCCACTTCCTTCAAAAAATAATTGATCGGCAACATCTGGTCGATAGGTGAGCTCGACATTAGGAATGGAATTAGGAGTAGATTTAAGTGTGTGCTGACGTGATGTTGGATGTGAATCTAATGTTTTTACAATCAAAAAACATTTTGCCTCGGACTCTGATACGTGTCAATAAAAATAATCATGAGAGTAATTCAAATAAATGCTGGTAATCCATTATCATTAAAAAAAATGTATACACACTTACCTTGAGCACGTTTCAAGAATAAATTTGTAGAGACAAATTCAATTTTCACCCGTTTCTGAAGATCAGCTGTACTCAGATTACTAGACTCCTCCGAGAAGTCTGAAGCACGAGATGATAATTGCTGCTGAAAGATCCCACCACCACCACCACCAGAGCCACCAGTGACAATGCTAATCTGATCAATGTCCGCAACTAAAAGATCAGAATGTATTCGGTAATTATTTGCTTCTTTGTCTTGTGCTGAATTCGAGCAATTTAGATCAGGACATATTATCCAAGCGCGAATCCTTTTGCAATGAATTCGTACACGTGATTGATGGACAGATGAAAGCTATACAATCAGAATCCGTATAAGTGTTACCATGCGCTAGATTATGTATGTAATTAACTTTAGTAGTGACTGTAATATGATATCATCACACTTTAGCGAACCTCTGTAACTCTTGGAGTATCCAAATCAGCTATTATATGTTGACTCCCCGAGTGTATTTCGGTGAATGTGCCACCATCACGGCTCACAGTTTCTTCATCGCGAGAAGATTTCGTGGTGTCGTTGATGCTGTCCAAAATACGTATATAGTTTTCTAGTCTGTCAATTAATCGGAGATCAAAATGCAGGTGAAAAGGTTCCAAGTCGACATTAAGATTTGGTGCGGAAGATTGTGGTATGACAGAATGATTATTCCCTATCAATTATTTAATTTTTTGAATTAATTTCTTATTGTTAATAGTATATCGAGAAAAAAATAGACACTTGTGATATCATCGCTTTTCACCTTCATTCTCTTGACTTTCAACGTCAATTTTTATTCGTATCATCTTTTGATCGGAATGCTTGTTTCCACCACTTCCACCAGCGAGTGGTCTATTAGAAGAATCAGATTTTGATTTTTGGTAAGAAGACGTGCTACTTATTAATTCTTGATCATCATTTTTTTGTGATACTGAAAAACTGAGAAACTTTGCTTCATCAGATTCATATGAATCTAATATCGCAGGGTCAAAACTTAAAACTCGGTTGTAACTCTTGAACGGGGGAAGACTATCTTTTTCCTCGGAAGAGGAGGAACCATCGACAAATCCCTCCAACCACTCCAAGACACTCAAGTCACTAATTGATATCTCTAGTGAGACTTTTGGCTTTTGTTCCGAGTCTACAATTTTCTGATGATGATGCCCCCCACTTTGCAAGCCACCACCAACGCCTACACCACTACTAATATTATTGCTACTGCTCGAAACACTGAGATTTCGTCTACGTGCATTAGTCCCAGTCTTCGGTTCACAAGTCCGTAGATGTGATGTGAAGTCTCTTATTTCAAATTTCAAATGATCTAATGATTCGGACGTTCGATCGTCAATAAAAAAGTTTTGCCCGGGTATTGAATCATTCTTGTACAAAAGGTAAAGTTCAATCAAAGAGATATTCAATTTGATATCTAAGTTTGGAGGAGAAACTGTGGGTAAAGTTGTGCTCGCCAATGGAGAGGATGCAGTGGTATAAGGGTTCTGGGAAGGATGACGGTGCGAAGAAGTTTTAAATGTATGTGGATATTTTGTGGAGCTGGAAGTAGAATACATGGGAGATCGTTCACCCAATGGTAATTCATAAAAATTGTTATTATTATCAATATTGTTGGAATCAATATTTATTTGATAGTATGGATCATTGCCAATGTTTTGTTTTGATCGAGTTCTGGAACTTGAAAAAGCACCAGTCCCTTCTCGGAATTTACTTTGCGAATTGTTATTGTTATAATTAAAATTACTAGTGTTATTATCGTAATGATGATCATGATACTGATGATGATTATCTAAATGATCGTTTTTAATGTTGTTATTGTTATTATTATTGTGTTGTGGAAGTACAAGATCGTCCATATATCCGTAATCATCATCCTGGTGAAGTTTATTGAATCTATGACTGATATTATTATTATAGCCAACATCACTACCATCACTACGATCTTGTGCATTAAGAGGAGACCTCATACTAGTGTTATTACTTCGGCTACCACCACCACCACTAGAGAACGTGGGTGGCATTTGCATTCTAGAAGTCTCCTGATGAATAGAATCATCCTCACTTTCCGTGTTCAATGCAAATTTTCTTTCATGCCCAGCAATTTTACTCTCTGATAATGCCTTCATTAGATCAGCGAGTAATCCCACTTGTCCAGGCGTCAATACGGCAATTATCGATTGAATAGTGCAATTTAAATCCCACGTTTGTGTACTACTTGCCTGTTGAATAGCTTCTTGTGTGAACATATATGAAGATGACGCGTTACTTGTATCGAATTGTATGGTAGGCGGGGAATTTTGTTTTATTGTGACACGGCCTAAATTTTCGTGTTCGCCACATGTGAATATCATCGCTTCATATAGTAAGTTTGTACTTGATTCTGTCGAGGATGTGTCAAATTTTTCTTCTATTTTTTTTTCTCCATCTCTATCTTCATTGTTTGCTAGATGGGAATCATAGAATTCATCACCACTATCCTGACTATCAGGTATTTCAGGTATTATTTCGGGTATTTCCGCGTCTTCTTCGCATTCCAAAGGTAAATCATTATGATTAATCGCAGATATTTCCGTGAATTCTTCAGCTCCAAGAGATAAATCATTATTAAGCTTAGATAGTGAAGCTGCTGCAGCTACATTCTTTGAACTATCAAGCTTAGTTTTTATCGTTGTTGATGATGACGACGACGACGACGGCGATAAAGTTTCAGCTTGTTCTCTTATCCATGCCTTTAATCCTGAAATAGTCAACGATTTAACAATCTCAGATTGTGATAGAGGTAATATTACACTCGATTCTGCCCCTGCAGCAGTATCATCACCATCACCCAATCCTTGAGTTTCATCACGATAGGAAATCGTCGGAATTTCAAGATCGAAAAAATAATTTCTCAATGTTTCCGTGTCGCACGATGACCCATCACCACCATTTTGATTATCGTCAAGCGAGTAGTTAGATTTATGTTGCAAACGAATTAACGTATCCTTAAAGACTACTTTGACGTTCGACATAATTTTGTCAATTATTCTGGCCAACACTTCCACTCCACCACCTTCAATGTTCTGTGTTTGCTGAGGCTGCGGTGGTTGTGGTGGCAAAGTCTCGGAATTGTCCAGTAATGAATTAGTAATGTCTGGTTGCTGTTGTTGTTGTTGATATTCTGACATAAAACCTGTACTACTATGAAATGACTGGTAGATGGAATTACGAAGCTCTTCGTCCTCTTCGGGCGGTATTTCATGACGAAGAAAATCTCCAGCAAAGTGTATAGAAGATGATAGTATATGTGAATCCTCAGTCGACGACTTTGCTATAATAATTGATAAGTAAATCAAACTTTGGGAATTATAAGCTTTCAAACTTTCTTTAAAAAAAGATTTATTTTACCATTCTTGTGTTTGACTTGTTCCGGAACGACCACAAGTTGTAAATTATGAATCTCTAACACACAATCGCAGCTCCATATATTTTTCCAAGGAACATTTGCAATAATTCCGCCTATTCGTCCATCAGTAATAATAATTGGCAAATCCGCAATCAGATCATTAAGCACCTATAAATAATATCGCCCGACGCCGAAAAAACATTGTAAAAAACGATGAATCATATAGATTAAAAATTAAAAATGGACATCAAAATTCAATAAGTGATCTCCAAATATCTAAATAATATATACAAAAATCTATCTCATCTCACCAAAAAAAATTAATTGTATGCGTAAAGCGAATTCCCTCAAAAAATCGGTTTGATCAATAGAAAAAAGAAAATAATACCTCGGTATTAAGTTGCAATTCCTTCAAATGCACGTGCCCTCTGCTAAATTCCACATCAAGGTTATCGAGAGCCAACTCATCAGTTAAAAACTGGCCAATCGCCTTTTTCAGCAGAAATTTGAGCAACCTTTTCTGAATGGTTTGCGGAATAGTAATGTTCAGATTCCAACCGCTAAAAGGCCAGCCGTTATACATATTGTTATTCTTATTGTTATGTTATTATTTTTATTATTGTTTTTATTGTTTTTATTATTATTATTCTTCTGATTATTATTATTGAAAGCCCAAACTGATGACTGATTTACCCAATAATAGTAACTCGGTTTAGAATCGCGATACTTAATTTTGCTACTAACACCTGTTACAAATAATGTGACGGAGACCGCCTATTTATGCCGGAAAAATGATCGACTGCGGAGAAATACAATCGTACGTAGTCAGCGGGCACGTCTTGTGATCTACTTTTTTCGTGAGAAAAGATCGTTATTGACCGCTGCAAATTAATTACGTAATTTCACACAAAATCTTATAAAAGGATAGCATTTGTTTCATTTCTTTTTTGGTTTGGCTTCGCGTCGTTCATTCACCATGCGACGTTTTTGTAAGCCAAAATGTAAAATGTCTTGTTTAAATTTCTTGCTACAAAGTGAAAAGTCTTGTAGAGAAGGGATGCTTCGTGTAAGTTTGTGTTTTACATGTCTAATCTGTAATTTTTAAAGTAAAATCGCGCGATTTCTATTGTGTAATTTTTGTTTCATTGCCTTTTAAAGCGTAGTTATTGTACATATCTACAACGCAGTTGTTACGATTTTAGTCCAAAGGTATGACGACGAGCGTATATTTTTGTTTCGAGTTCGAGTCATGTATATAAAATAATATATTTTCATGATTTAAATAATGGTCTTAGTCTACAATTATCTTTGGCACCTCTTTTCCGAGACTTACCATTTCACGAGATAATAAAATTCCTTTGTCGATATACAGTGCTCGTTATTTTCACGCGACCAGTTTCAATCATGCAGTAATTCCATTTTTACTTGCCGATGTTGGCGAGGGGATAACAGAATGCGAAGTAATTCAATGGTGCGCGCCCTATCTCTATAATGTACCGTATATAAGCAACCTGTGACATTGCCCTTTTTTAGTAATTTTTTAATTTATCACATGTATTTTATTATATTAAGTATTTGTAAACATTTATTCGTCACAAGTTGCTTATACACGGCAAAATATGGTAATTGATTTACCAAATAAAAAACGACCTAAAACGACAATATTCTAATTATTAGGTTCGTTAAACCTGGCGATCAAATAAACGAATTCGATAAGCTATGTGAAGTTCAATCAGACAAAGCATCTGTTGAAATATCATCACGCTATACTGGTACTGTTGTCAAAATGCATTATACTATCGGAGAAATGGCTAAAGTGGGAAAGCCGATAGTTGACATTGAATCACCAGATACAGCTTCCGAATCTTCCTCAAGTGAAGAGAGAACTCAAACACCGTCGTCGTCATCACCGGAGTCACTAAATCCTTCTAAAGATATTTCTTTTATATCTCAGAATCATGAAGTAACGCTGGCTACTCCAGCAGTCCGAAGACTCGCGAGAGAGAATGCGATTGATATCTCTAAAATTCAAGGGACTGGTAAATCCGGTCGCGTATCTAAAGAAGATGTGCTGAATTATGTGACCAAGGGAAATCGTAAGATCAAATGTCTTAAATTTTCCCTCTTGCTCGTCAAATTATTAATATTGTTTCATTGCTTATTTAGCACCATTTGTATCTAACACCACCACAACGGCGGCTAAAGATGAAATTGTTAAATTATCAAGTTTACAAAAATCAATGTTTAAAACTATGACACGATCACTGCAAATTCCCCATTTTGGTTATTCTGACGAGTACTGCATGGACAACATTATAGAATTCAGAAACATTATAAATGAGAAATTTTTAAAAAACAATCGTGATGAATTCCCCTTTAAAAAAATTTCCTTTATGCCATTCCTTATTAAAACATTTTCAGCGGCATTATTGGATTTCCCGATCTTAAACGCGACGCTGGTCGATGCAGAAGACGTGAACACGGCGAAATTGCGCTACCGTAGTCGACATAATATCGGGATTGCAATGGACACACCCAGCGGTTTACTAGTACCAAACATCAAAGACGTGCAACAAAAATCGATCCTTGATATTGCTCGGGAATTATATCGATTACATGAAGCCGGAAAACGGAATGCGATTACGTCAGCCGATTTGAAAGACGGAACAATTACACTCTCCAATATTGGGATTGTTGGTGGCGAGTATCTGAGTCCAGTGGTTGTGTGGTCTGAATTGTGTCTTGGTGCTATCGGAAAAATTCACCGATTGCCGCGATTTGAAGTGGTCAAAGATGAGAGAAGTGGGCGGATAAGGGAAAAAGTTGTCGCAAAGAATTTGGTAAAAATTAGTTTTTGCGCTGATCATCGTGTGATCGACGGTGCTACCGTGGCAAGATTCTCGGAATCTTGGAGAAATTTAATAGAGAATCCAGTCTTTTTATCTTCTAGAATGAAATAGAAATTTGAAATTTAATTTAATGTTTATTTAGTAATTCAATAGTACAAATAATTTAGTTATGTAAAGTTTTGATTTTACAAAGGATTAGAATTACACCCAGAATTGTGCTAAATTTATCCCGACTTAATTAATCTCAATAATGTTCTTTAAACAATTTAGACGTTATGTTAACAATTCTAACTTTTAATTTCATATTGATTGTTTTCGATTAATCTAACAAGACCAAATGCTGATCCTGCGGCCAATATCCCCACCATTGCTGTTTGCAAGGCCGCCATTAACGCTTTGTCCGGAGCTATGAAATACGATTTCGCATAACCGAATAACATCAAACATAACACGGTTACTACGATACTTATCCAGAATCCACTCATTGCATCTTGCACCATGAAATACGGGATTAAGGGGATCAAACCACCGATGAAATATGAAAGTCCAATGGTGATAGCGCTAATCTAGAATATACAAAAAAATTTATTTCATTTCATGTCACGTTCTCTTTTCCGTAATGAAATTTTTGGTTTTCATTTACTAACCCAGGACCGTTTTGGATCTGGCTTTTCTAAATTCAATTCGAATTTCATCATAAAGTCGACGAATTTTTCGGGATTGTTTTTCAGTTTCTCAATTACTGGACCTAAAGAATCTCGATCGAGACCATAAGGTTCAAGTATTTCTATCAAGTAGACAGCAATTTCGATGGATTAAACCTTTGATAATAATACACTTTATTAATCACAATCTAACTAGAAAATAATTATCTCACCAACAATCTCATCAATTTCATCCTCTAGACAATCCACAACTTCTCTTTCCTCACGTTTTCGTTCAGTGTCATAATGATCTGCCTCTGATCTAGCAGCCAGATATCCTCCCAAACCCATAGATATTGCCCCGGAAAGAAGTTCTATCAACATTACACGTTTTTGTATATCATTAATTTTATGTGAACAATTGATCACTTATTAATTGATCAATCAAAAAAAAAATACCAGCTAGACCAGCAGTGACAACTAAATTAGGGTTGCCAAGTGAGGAAAGTCCAGCAGCCAAAGCAAATGGAACCTTTTTTTTAACGAAAAAAAGACTACTTTTTCAATATTTTCTTTAAGATTGCGTTTAGGAAGATGGAATATAAAACATACAGTCAAGCCATCACTGAGACCTATCACAATGTCACGAATGACTTCGGGAGAATCAAAATGTTGCTCCAAGTGTTGACACGGAGGTAAAGAATGTTTATTATGTGGCGCTAACATCTGAATTGCAGCTTGAGCCATCTTTTTCAAATAATTTTATTAAATCATTTGGTTCTTCCATTTTATCGCTTTCGACGCCGACTTTTATAATTTATAGAACAAAATATGCAATTCACAAATTATATACATAGTCAAAGTTTGTTACAACGGCAGCTGGTGTTACCAATTAGCTGATAATGATGACACCACATATCCACTCATGAATAATGAATAACCATTGAAATAAGCACTCCAATCAATGTTCGGAATTTTCGCACGCCCAATGATTGACAAGTACATTGTTCTGATCTACGTCCGACGATCACAAATTAACGTTAATTTTTTTTCTACTTTACTGCATATATTGTATACGTATATATCTATATACATATATATATACGCAATGTACCGCGTTCTTTCAGAGAAAACTGAAAATTCCATCGATGGCAATGACGATACCTCACAATCTGCTAAAGATTTTATAACACGTGTTCTGAGTCCTCGTGTTGCTGTAGTGTCTTCGCAAGACGCTGATATGGCATGTCGAGCGAACAACTTTTCAAATTTTTTGGAATTAATCCGACCTTTTGGCGAAAGATATGAAGGCAGAAGTTTGTAGGATTTCACTCACATTGATTCCTTTTGTTTGGGGACCTAATAAAATATATTCAATTAATTAATTTCAATGCATTTTCTATTGTTGTGAGACAGTAACGGCTCGTGATTCACAAGGCTTACCTAACCCAATTGAAGGATTCACGTTTCGTTTCGCGGATCTAGCGTGTCTGGAACAACCAGATAATCAGATTATTGCGAAATTGTTGTCTGAAAAGGTCAAATCTTATTGTGGTGACCCTAAGCAGCTAAATGAAGTTCAGCATATTTCATCAAAGGCTGATCTCACAGAAAGGTACTTGAAAGGTATTTTTCTACTTTTCCTTCATCCTCTTTTTTTTTTTAGCTTGTGCTTGTTTCGATATAAACTGACTAAAATAATAATATATATGGAAAAAATAGCATCCCAAGATGACATAACTCCCTGGTATGCAGAATATCGTCGTTTCTTTTTTAAATTGACTGGCGTTTCTGAACACGAGACTTTTGAGCACCCTGTAGCATGTATTCTTGCAAATTTCTTTAATCTTTTTTTTGTCTGGTATTCTTACAAATTTACCCATACAGTAATTTGTATTAATAAAAACATGATGGCATTACAAAGGTATAATTGTCGTGAGCTCATTAAATCCGGATCCACTCAACCAATTCGCTCAACTTTTTGACGATAATATTCTTCCTGCTCCGATATATGAGAAAGGGTTTATGGATCCTAACATATTAAAATATTATGTGCTCTTGCATGACAATCATAAAACGAGTTTGGAACAGTGAGTACTATTTTCACATCATAAATCTATTCACCCTTGGTGATTATCATTGATTCTTATATTACATATAATCATTTAGTTCTGAGGCAATTTTTGACCAGATGAAACGGAAATTCGGACTCAATTGCCATTTACTTGAATTGAATTCTATCCCACTGCCCACTATTCCGGATAACAATGATCCATTTTCACAACCTCCGACTTCACCCATAAATTCCAGTTCAAACACAGACATATGGTCCTCATCTATACACGAAACCAATCTTCTCCAATCTCTAATTGCAAATTCCACATCTTCTAATTCAGAAATACGCGCCCGACATGATTTATTTCCTTCAATTCAAACAAACACACTACCATTGTCACCTACTGCATCGACTCTTAATTCGCCGACTTCATCTATTAGTGAAGATATGTTATTTCTCGCTAAAGAAAAAGAAACTAGTGTTTTTGAATCACAGAATATTGTCGAGCTCGTGGGAAATTTGCCGCCCTCTGTTGTAATATATGGGCAATATTTAAGTGAAAAAGATTTTGCGGGAATTCAATCTTTTATTCGAGAGTTTGTTGCGCAAAGTATGATACCTTCCATGGAGAGAAATATCCACGTGTGGAATGAACAAGTAAATAATCAATTTCAATAATATTATATGTTTCTAGCTTTTCTGATGTTTATTTATTTTAGGTGGCTGCATCACGTCGAGGCATTACTGGCAGGCTTTTCAGCGCAAGTCGTCGTTATTTCGGCACTGGTGGAAAATCTTCAGGTCAACCTCCTTCCACCCAACAATCATCGAATTCACCAAGTGGACCTCAAAACGCTTTTGCAAACACAATGTTGGCTTGATTTTGATTGATTTTTGCGGTTCTTTTTTATATGAGAGAAGCACTGAATTTTTTTTTTAATTACGTAATTATAGTTATCCTCATACTTCACCGGAAGCCCAAATGAGAAAATTGGCTGACTATGCATTTATGTTACGTGATTATCGGCTTGCTCATTCTGTATACGATACTATAAAAAAAGATTTCTCCGCCGATAAGGCATGGAGGTATTATGCGGGAGCACAGGTATGTTTTAATTGACAGCTACTCATTAGTTATTGCATAGATTCTAGTTATTAATTGAAAATTTTACGTGATAGGAAATGATTGGGCTCTGTTTACTAATGTCCACATCCCCAATTGGAAATAAAACGGATATCGATCATTATTTCGAGCAATCGGTCAATGCGTTCTATAATCGCGCAAAATCGCCTTTTTTTGCGACGAAAGCAACAATTTTATATTACGAAATGTTAAAACATCGAAAACTGTATAAAGACGCGCCTACTGCATTAATCAGAATGAGCGGAGAGGTAATTTTGATATATTAATTATTGTTGTATTATTTTCTATTGATTAAACTTAAAAAAAGCTTTATAGGATTCCGATCTTAGAAGTGCATTATTCCTAGAACAGGCCGCGCATGCGTTTTTACATTGTCCGAGGCCGATGATCCGAAAATATGCATTTCACTTGGTGATGGCTGGTCATCGTTATGGAAAATGTAATCAGGTGATAAGCGTATTGATTGGTAGTGAACATGTATTCTTTTTTTTAAAAATTAATATTTCCCGGTACATATTAATTTTGTGAAAGCGGGAACACGCTTACCGTTGTTATCTCGCCTCTTCTCACGTGTTTGAGGATCGTTCGTGGTCATTAGTTGAGGATCATATTCACTTTGCGCTTGGACGTCAAGCTTTTCATATGGGAGATCTGGATAGTTCACTGCATTTTTTCTTGAAACTATTGCGTGAGAGTCGTCAACCAGCATCACAACAGAATGCTTATTTAAGAGAATTTTTGTATATATACAAGGTATTAAATTGTTTAAGACTTGTTGATTTTTTAGAGCTCTATAATCTCTTATATTAAATAAATCCATAGCATTACAGTAACAAAACTGGCAAGGAACCTACATTCAATCCGCCAGATCTTCCTATTCCTGTGATTCTAGATGCATCTCTTCGCGTTGTTTTGTCAAATGCACAGTCAGGCGAGTACGATGAAATATGGCATACAATGGAACAAGCCTTTGTTGATGAAAAGTATAAAAATGTTGATGCATTTGGAAGAAACAAGCTGAACCCTGTTGCTTTGACAAAAGATAGTCGTCAGACTGTTTGCGCCGTTGCAGGTCCTTGAAGTTTTTTGTCATTACATTTTTAAAGATGTTATATAACTAACTAGAGTACTAATCAGATCATGCGATCCTTGATTATATTACAGAACCATTTTATGTACAATTTGATGTCTACAATCCGATGCAAATTTCTATAAATGTCACAGATCTTATTCTAGAATGTGACTATATTTCTTCGACTAAAGATTCCGTGAATTCTAATCTAAACAGCGAAAATACGGAATCAACAGATGATGACTCTGAAGCATTCGATTTAGAAATAATCCCCGAAATATCGCTAGAAGGCACAGAAAAAAAAAAGGCATGCATGCTGCTAAATTTTAGCTATGGATAATTGGAGCTTATCGCCAACAAACTTTCTTTTTCTCATGGACTTCTCCAAACTAATAGTTATCCCTACGGGTAACTCCAAAACGGGAGGGAACGATCAAAATCGTCGGGCTTCGTTATAGTCTCCATTCGATTGTTCGTAGCCGTAGAACATTTGCAAAACGAGGAAAGCGACTAAATAACACTAAGCAACAGATGATGGATGTAGTGTATGCACCTGACCTATCTCTAGAGGTTTTGGTCACCTCGCCGATGCCGTTGCTTGAGGTTGCTTTCCACTCTTTCCCGGAAATGCTGTTCTCTGGCGAAGTTATACAAGTGGTACTGGAGATTAATAATAAAGGACAAACGGGGTTGACGGATTTACAAGTTAAAATGAGTCATCCCAGTTTCTTTTGTGTTGGCGATGCTGAAATGCTAGAGAAAACAATATACGGTAAATATAAATTCGTGAGCTAGAGATTTTTCTATACTGTATAATAATGAAATTATTGAAATATAGGAGATACCCCGGAGTTTCCCGAATTTCCAAATTCAGAATCGTCTTCAGAAAAGCTGAAAATTTCAAATATTTTATTTAATTCGAGTATCAATAGTATACCATTGCCTATTGTAGAGGACAATGGTACTGATGGTAGTCGTGACTCTAACTTTGTGTTAGCTCCGGGAAAGACGACATTAATTCCAATATGGATTCGGGGGGATAGAATAGGGAAACATATGTTTCGTTTTTTCTTTACCTACCAATCTGAGGTATTGATTTTATGTTTTGTCGTTATTGTCATTATACTTTCTAAGATACTGGCCAAACTTTATGTATTATAATTAGGATCCCAATGTTGCCATGAAGTATCGTAGTCTGAGATATTTCGTCACGTCACAAGTATTGCCTTCCCTAAAGATCAGCGCGTTTACGCGTCCGAGTACTCGCGGTTTGAATGAATTTATATTGGGCATCGAGGTATTATTTATTTTATTCGGTGTGATGAATTGCTTCAGTTTTTATTTATGATTAATTTTTACATGTTGTTTGTATAAAAAGACCGAAAATCTGCAAACTACAGCAGATTTTCAGTTATTACAGATTTCTTCGTTAAGTCCTTCTTGGTCAATATCGCCGATTAATATTACGACTGGGTAATTTGAATTTGGATTTTTTAATGATTACTTGAATAAAATCCGATGAGATCACTTATTACATATTCTTTAAAACAGTGATGATCAAAATTCTAAAGTTTTAATAGCACCCCGTCAGACCACGTATACCTATTATCGAATAAGCAAATGTCAAATAGATTCTCCAGCTGATCATTTAACACCTGAACAATATGCTTTAAATGCTCTTGAGCGTATATTAAGCGGCAATTATGAGTCAAAGACCCTAGAACCCTCCCCAATAGAGCTTATCGTCACAAACTTACCTTTTGTAAGAAATTGAATTTATTTATGCTATTCTTTATTTGGATATAGAATCAATGCTCATTTTAAATTATTGTAGACAAGCCGAGTAATAAAAAATGCATCTAAACCACTCGAAGGATTCTCCCTAAACTCCCGAGTACAATGGCGCATCAATGCACTCAGCAATCAGTTCCCTGCGCTCACTCAAAAACAGCACGAACAAATATTCACATTATACACCACCAACGACGTTGATCTCGTTATCTACTGGAACATACCAAGCTCGCAACGTCAAGGTCATCATTATATAATTGGCATTAATTTAGGGGTGCAACAGAACCCATTTCAAGGCAAGGAAATTTTAGCGTTGGTTGCTTCTGCTCCTAATCGCGCTCTATTTGAACAGACGATAAAAGAGCGAGCAATACTTGTGAACAGTTTATTGAAGAATAAACATTTTAAGGAGGAGAGCCCCTTGAAGGTTTTATTGAAATGTAAAGATATGTATGAACATAATTTTGTTTCTGAAAGGTGAGTTGTGGATTTTATAAGATTATGGATTTTCGCACGTTAATGCTAATAAGAGATCTTGCTTTCACGTCAAAAAAAGTCTGTGTGTTCTTCCAATCAAAATAGTGATAAAGAATTGCTCGTGGAATAAACATGTTGGGTTCAATTTGGAATTGCTGTCATTTGATGAGAATCTTAATTTACGAAGGTAAATTATTTACTTGATTAACTAAATTTTTTAAATCAAATTTATTCTATTCACAAATACTAATATAATACAAATGAAAATATAACCTCAGTACTATGTCACATAAATCATTACACAACAATATTTTCAATTGGACCGGTGAGACGTATAAATACGGCTCGTTATCTCCAAACAATGAAATTGAATTCGAGGTAAAGGCGTGTTTCACACAACCTGGTGTCTATGATATTAATCGGTGGCGATTAACCGTGAATATGGATTACGATTCCACCGTCAATACGACAGCAATTACAGGAGGAGGAGAGGGAGTAATGATATCTAATGCTGCTGCTGATAGTATTAAGGGCGGATATATGCAGATGCCAAATGCACCACATCTTTTGACGTTATTGAATACTTGATCTTTTATTATCATTTATTGATTCATAATGTTGAAGATCTGAAATTTTATCGCGCTTGCAGTTTTGCAAATTCAGCACACAAATCATTCTTGGTGAATGCTATTCATCAAAAATTTATCAATAACTTATTTATAGAGTAAAATTTTACATTTGTCTGTTCTGGTCACATTGAACTAGTCCTTTTAGGCTGGTATATTGAGATTCCCGGATGGGTTGTAACACATCAATAATAATCAATACTAAGTATTAATAAGTTATTATTTCCTGCATGAAAATGTCTTATGACAAGATCATGGCTTCATCAAGCAAAGTCCAAAGGAATATTTCTCGGATGCCATTGATATTTTTATCTATTTTTATATTGCAATTCTTGCATTTGTATGTTTCTGATCCTTCAATATTCTAAATGTTTCCATACCAATTACATGTCTTTGATGTGTAAGTCTCATTTTGAATTATTACATGGATTTCTTTCTCTTTTGCTTTTGAGATTAATTGTTGTCAAAACTTGTAATGAAACCAACAAAGCATTTTTCTAACTGTTTTTCTTGTTATCTTTTGTGTTTTTCTGTTCATCATGTTTGAAATCTTGAAAGAGAGAATAACAATTATGTCAAATTTATTAATTAAGAACTTGATTATTTTTTGATGAATTTCATTCTGCAATTACTTAATCTTTTGTTATATACAAGAAATAACTTTGTCAACTTGCAATACTTTTTCTTTTTTTATTTCAAGATTGAAAATACCAGTTTATCTTTTTTCAATATAAGATTATCCATGTATTTATATAAACAAAAATTATATCATATATCATATTTTCTTATTTTGCCTATATTTTTGATCAAAGAATATCATGTGAATAAAGTACAAATTCCTGGATCAATTGAAACTACATGAATTTTTATTTGTATTTCACAGATCTGTTTTTGTGTTTCATATATCTAATAAAATATCCATTTATTTATCTTACATATATACATAAGTTTACAATTATATATATCTTTTGTAATGATTATTTATTATATTTTTTCTTTATTTCAAAATAAAACAGATACAAATTATGCTTTTCATTTTTTAATTTATTGAATTTATATTCTTTTGATAATAAAGTTAAAGAATTATAAAAATGTATGATATAAAAATGATTTTAATCTTTCTTTAAAAAGTTTTGTACACAAATAATTATTATTTATTATAAATCTTTTTTAAATTTAAATAATAATAATAATTTTTTAGTTGCTTTCAAATTCTTTTGTATTATGTTTCTTTAGTTATCAAATTTTGTCAATATCATCATTAATTATATTTGCAATAATTTTATCATGTAAATCTTTAAAATATAATTCTAGTCATATAATTATTTAAAGAAATTTTTATTTTTCTTATATATATGATCTTTATAATTTTTTGTCCTATTTATTAAGATCTTTTTTTCCTTTATATCTATATATAATTTAAATTTTTCATTAAATATTTGAGATTTTATTTACTCAAAATATTTAGAATTGTTACAAAAATAATAATTTTTGCTTTATTTAATAATAATATTATAAATATTGTTATAATTATGCTTTAATTGAATAATATCATAATATAAATGTTTAATTAATATTTGATGATAGTTCTTTTACAGTTATTCAAACTTATTATATTTATTTCAGAATTATTATACAGTGTATTTTTTTTCTATTTGTTAAATAACTTTTACTATTACTAATAGATATTATATCTACTTAGTATAGAACAATTCTATAATAATATAATACTGATATTCTATAGTAACTTGCTTTATAAAAAATAAAAGAAAATAACCAGGAAAAGATTTAGTTTTTTTAGTTTTGAAAAATTATCAGTTTTGTTAACAAATTTTCAGATTAAAATTTGATAAAAATCTGATTAAAAATCTGGTAAATTTGAAATGCAATATTTTATAATCTACAAATCCAATTTGAACAAAAATATTACTATTCAATTTGTCTAGTCTTGGTGAATTAAATAGTAATATTTTGTTTAAATTGAATATATGAATCGCAAAATATTATATTCCAAACTTACTGGATCAATTTTTTTAATTTTTTTGTTCAAAATTAAAATAAATATATTATTTCCAAATACATTATTATTAAATTTGTCTAGTTTTGGTGAATTTAATATAGTATTTTTTACATAAATAATTTGATAATTTATAAAATATTATGTTTCAAAGTTACTAAATTAATTTTGATTTTTTAAAAAAAAATTATTTTAATTTAAAATACTTAATTTAAAGCATGATATATCATGATCCATCAAGACAAATTTCATTAAAATTCAGTTAAAATTCTACTAAATCTCAATAAATATGTGAATTTATTTTTATCTAATTTGGTTAAGTAAATGATAAGATATTAATTTATTTTTAAAAAAATAAGAAAAATGAAAAAATATATTTAGTAATTTGGGATATGATATCTTGCAATTTACTGATTTAATCTGGACAAAAATATATTATTTGATTTATTTAGTCTTGGTAAATCAAATAGTTATATTTTTATTCAAATTGAATTAGTAAATCACAAGATATCACATTCCAAATTTATCAAATATATTTTTTATTTTCTCTGTTTTTTTCATTTTTAATCAGATTTTTATCAGCTTTTAATTCAGAAATTTGTTAACAAAACTTGTAATTTTTTGGAACTAAAAAACTGGATTTTTTTCTGATTATTTTCTTTTATTTTTTTTACAAGGTTGATAATTGTTCAATAATTTACAATAAATATAAATTATTAATATAATATTATTATTATTTAATTAATTAATGTGCAAATTTCATTAATAATAAACAAAAACAATTTATTGACTAGCTAAATTAATTAATATCTTTTGATTTATCCAAAAGATTCTTTATTTTTATAAAATATTCTTTATGATAACTTTTCTATTTTTGCAATCTTTATAATCTATATTTTTTCATATGATTTAAATTAAAAAATTAAAAAATAGAGATAATTTCAAGCTGTAATAATATATTTTATTAATTCAAGTTATCTTTTCAAAATTTTTTTTGAGAATAATTCAAATATATTTTAATTAATAATATTTGATTTACAGTTACTTTGATTTTTTATTTTTTTGCTTTATATTTTTTATTTTCTTTCATTTTTTATTTTTTTAGTACATAATATTCTCATTAATTCAAGAATTATTAAAATTAATAAATTAATAAAGTAATATAATAATGAAAGAACAAAAACTGAATAATTTATAATAAATAAAATTCACTAAAAATTCTAAAGATCTTCTGTATTAGTTTATATAAACTAGCTAATTATCAATAATAAAGAATAAAAATAAATAGAAAAATAAAGTGAAAATATAAAAAAATTATCAAATAACTAAAAAAAATAATATAATTTATTAATAATATCTAATAAAATAAAATAATAATTGGTTTTATTGAAATTACCAATTATAAAATATAAACTAAAATAACTAAAATAATTAAACAAAACTTATTAATATGATTTAAAAATAATAAAACTAAAATAAATAAAAGTAGTAATGTTAATAGTTTATTTAGAATAGAGAAATATTTATTATTTATACTTTTAAGATTTAAAGATAATTCATGAAAATAATAATATATTTATTACAAGTAAAATTTTGTTATTTTTATTAAATCAAAGAATTAAAGCATAAAAGTTTCTAATAACAAGAGATTCTTCTTTTATATATTTTCAATCTTTTATATAATTTATATTGTTGTATAATGGAATTTCACATTAACTATTAGTCAAAATTATCATTTAATCTTATTGGATAATTTTGAAAGCACATGTTTATATTTAATTAGTTAAGATCTTC